TTTCTAACATCTGTCGAGGGCTTTCTAACATCTGTCGAGGGCTTTCTGACATCTGTCGAGGGCTTTCTAACATCTGTCGAGGGCTTTCTAACATCTGTCGAGGCCTCCACATGTGCAAATGTGTGGTGAAGAAGCTGCTTCAGATCCTGGCAGGCAGGAAGTTAGCATTAAAGCTAATGTGTTAGCTGATGAAGTGTCGCTCCACATTGTAGCGTTTTGATGTCGCCCGCAACGACACACGTTTGTTTTAACGAACCTCATCCTCCCAGTCACGGTGAAGAAGTTGTTCTTTCCCTCAACTCAGGGAGGTAAAAACATTTTGTAGCTGTGCCGCTCACAGAGGTCTCGGTGCATCTCTTCATCGTTCAGAACTTTGAATCCAGACAAGTTGCCAAGCTGTAAAAGATTTTATTCTGAAAGTTTTTATGAATTCTCATTTCAAATTACATCCATGTAAATGTTACTAAAGTTAAAAACTAGGGATGGGGCCGATCCAGTATCGGCCTCCGATACCAGCATAATTTACGCATCAGATTTTTCTGATCCATGATGCACGTTGGCTTCAAACTATGGGATGGATTTCCTGAACGTGTCTCATGATCCAGAGTAATAAGACTCGCCCCACATTCAGGAAATCCAGTCCATAGTTTGCAGCAGCTGCAACATGAGGACTGAGTTAGCAGCACTGTGGCTAACAGCTAACACACTTTCATGTAAACATGTCGCTGTGTGGAAGTATTTTACACTGAACACCACAAGACAAGACAGCAACGTGCACGGTCTGCAGAGCCACAGCGCCACATTAAACCACGGTCAAGTTAGTTTTACGATGGACCTTCGAGCTCCGGGGCTTCAGCGGTCTGCTCCTCTCACTGAACCTGAAACAGGCGACTTGACCCCGGCCAGCCACGTCCAACCTGTCCCGCTCCGTCTGCCCGTCTCCGAGGAGGGACAGACTGAAATGAGAGTGAACAAGAAGAAGACGTCGCTGAAGCCCCGGAGCTCAAATATTTACTGAGAAGTTGCTAAACTTCATCATTAATGACCAACAGCTATCAGTTGGAGAAAACGAAGGATTTCACAGCTCAGTCAGGGCTGTGTGATGAGTTCAGGGACCTTCAGGAAATCACAGCATCTGTTGTTTCCAGGTGAACGGGAGTGGACGTCGCCACTGATGGAGCGCCAGCCGTACGACGAGGAGCAGAAGAGCGGCTACGATGCTCCGCGGAGATACGGCCCCCCCGCTGAGCCTCGCAGACCCGAGGGGCCCCTTCCCTCCAGCACCGGAAGCCTCAGGAACTGTCCCAGCCCAGGTGGTCTGGAGGCCCCGCCTCTTCGTTTTGAGCGGGAGCGCCTATCACCGCTGCATCAGAAGGACGTGGCGGACATGAGTCCGGTCCCACGCTTCGAGAGTCCGAACAGTGAACACTCAGATGATGCGCCCCTTGAAGTCCCCCATCCTCCCTCCAAGTCCATCCTGAAGGGCCCACCTCGTGGGGGGCCCCTGTCTGCTGTCCGTCCACTGGAAGAGTCCCCAGGACATACCCCACCTCATGAAGGAGGACAACCCCCAACACGCTACAGTGGACCCGGACACATGGGCCCCTCCAGGCCCCACAGACCCGGCTGGTATGAAGGCCCTGGACGCTACGAGGAGTCTCCGTTTGAGGGGCCACATCACGCAGCGCTCAGGTTTGATGCTGGGGGCCCACCTCATCACAATGTACCCGACAGAACTGAAGGCCCTGGACCCAGCGACGGGCCCCATATGGGTCACGGCCCAATGAGAGGAGATGGCATTGGACGGTTCGATGGGCCCCCTCAGGGGCCCGTCAGGTTTGGGGCTCCCATTGGCCAGCAACCCCCCATCAGGTTTGAGGGACAGGCAGGTGGGTCAGGCCACCTAGAGGGCCCGGGTCAGCACTTCGAAGGGCCAGTTCGGTTCAGCAACATGGGCCCCGGTCCGATGGGTTTCCAGCAGCCGCGGCCCCCGCACTTTGACGGGCCCACTAATCAGATGGGTCCGATGAGGTTTGATGGTCCTGGTCCCACTCGCTTCGAGGGCCCTGCCCAGCTGGGTCCCAGATTTGATGTGCCTGGGCCCCTTCAGGGTGGGCCCCCACACTTTGATTACCCCACTGGCCAGCAGGGGCCCCCGAGGTTCGCCCCCCAACCCAACCTGCCCCCCATGCAGCCAATGGCTCCCCCCATCTACGACACTCCCATGGCTCCCCAGCAGAACTTTGGCATGGGCCCCCAACATTTCCAAGAACCCCTGAACCCCCAGTTCCCTGGGGGGCCCAACCTACAGCCGGCAGGGTCCTTCAACCTGCAGCCGGTCCAGTTCAGCCAGCCGGGCCCCGGGGCCTTCTACAACCCTGCTGCCCCCGCTGGGGGCCTGCAGCAGCCAGTGAGTCCACATCTGTCTCTGTCCACAGCTGACTCTGTCTGTCCACAGCTGTCTCTGTCTGTCCACAGCTGTCTCTCTGTCTGTCCACAGCTGTCTCTCTGTCTGTCCACACCTGTCTGTCCACATCTGTCTCTCTGTCCACAGCTGTCTCTCTGTCCACAGCTGTCTCTCTGTCTGTCCACATCTGTCTCTCTGTCCACAGCTGTCTCTCTGTCTGTCCACAGCTGTCTCTGTCTGTCCACAGCTGTCTCTGTCTGTCCATACCTGTCTGTCCACATCTGTCTCTTTGTCCACAGCTGTCTGTGTTGGTTCTGATCAGCTGGTGGTTCTGTTTTTAATGTCCAGGTGAACCTGATGGGTAACCTGAACCAGCCCTTCCTTCCACAAAACCCCGAGCCTTTTGGACTGCAGAGTAAGTCCTTAAAGCTCTGAGCCATCTGGAACAGGAAACAGGAAGTGATGTCATTAACCTGAGGTTCTGTCCCTGCAGCTCATCCGGTCCCTCCTCCAGAGAACCACTTCGGTCAGGTGGACGTCAACGACTTGTTGTCCAAACTCCTCTCCACTGGGATCATAAAGTCGTCCTCTCAGCCGGACACGGCGCCGACGTCCACCGCTGGTGAGTCTGCGGACAAGTCTGTCCCTCTGAAGATGGTCTGAGAGGCCTTCGGGTGTGACCCGTTTGTTTCCTTTGCAGAGTCGTCTTCTGCGGCCGCTCAGGCTCCGCCCGTGGAGGAGGAAGAGGAGGAGGAGCCGGAGGTAGAAGAGGAGGACTTCCCAGATCTGACCAGCTTCAGCATCGAAGTCATGAAGCAGTGAGTTATGGAGGAGCGGTCCATTCAGAACTTTCATTGATTCATCAGTTGAAGTAACGCTGCAGGTTCTGACCCAAAGTTCAAGGATCTCCAGCTAGTTGGAAAAAAAGTCCGTTTCATAAAGTCCTTTAGAACAAGACCGTAAAAATACTGTAGGCTCTTTTTATTCTTAAAATCTCAAAAGTCACGATTTAATTTACACCGCACTGCATTCTGGGTAAATGACAGGTTGATCCGATGCTTGGAGCTGAGCTTGCACCTGTATGATGTTAGCTCAGGAGCTAATGAATGTGACGTTGGCTCAGGAGCTAATGAATGTGACGTTGGCTCGGGAGCTAATGAATGTGACGTTAGCTCGGGAGCTAATGAATGTGACGTTAGCTCAGGAGCTAATGAATGTGACGTTAGCTCAGGAGCTAATGAATGT